GAGAAGCTTTGCTTTTATGTGGTGTGGCTTCCAGTGAGCTCCCTCCCCGGCTACCACGCCCACAGACACTGTGTAACATCCAAGGTTTAATTTTAATTTTAGCAGATGTAGTTTTTCTCCTGAAACCACATTAACAGGGTCAGAACTGGATGAATGTAGCGATTGAAAACCAGGTGCTCTTCATTAGAAGGTGCTGTCAGCTTCCTTCTGTTCTGGATTCCTGGCAAACACTTCCTTTGTTCATAAACATGGCCTGCCAGGCAGTGGTGGGGCACACCTTTAAGCCCAGCACTCAAGAGGCAGAGGCAGGCAGGTTTTGAGTTTGAGGCCTGCCTGGTCTACATAGCAAGTTCCAGGACGTCCAGGACCATGTAGAGAAACCCTGTCTTGAAAAACCAAAACAAACAAAAACCAAAAACTATGGCCCACTCAAGTGACTGGAGCTAAAATGTGCAGACCATCTATGGTATTAACTGGGTTTTAGTAGTGTCTCAGCTTACAGAGAATTTGAACATAAACATTGTCATCTGACCACACTGTGAGGTAGATTTGTCATCTCTGAATGTCAGGTGAGGAAACAAATTGAAACCTTTATATAAGGCTGAACAAAACTGCTTCCTTCTGTGTGCCCTGTCGCTCAGGTCCTGTTACATGTCCAAGGTCATAATTGACACTGCTGTGTTCTGTCCTGTCCCAGGTTGCTTGTGGTCCCCTTGCTCTAATTGCCTCCGCTGTGGCGTTTTGCCCATCTTCCTCTCATCTAAACTGAATGTCTCCCACTGCTGCACTCTTCAGGCCCAACATCTGTGGCTGGAGCGGCCCCACCCTCCTGCTGTCCTTCTGTATTGTTGGTACCATGGTGTCTGGCAGCATGCTTGGGGCTGTGTGTCTTTCCTCCACCATGGACAGTATGGATATTTCAGAATAGTGGTCCAGGCTGGGTGATGCTGATAATGTAGGTAGTAATCTGTGCTTCGTGTGAGAACGGTGTGCTGTAAAATAAGCTTTCCGAACTGCCATCGTGACTATTGCATGGTTCTGCCCCTTGTGATAAAGCTCTCTAGTCTATCGTGTTCATGCACATAAGAACCTGAGCATGCATGTCTCCAGTGAAACACTCCATTATCCTGTCTCACCAGTACTGCTCTGAGTTGTCTGGGCCCTTGTGGATGCTTTATGTACTACACAGCACAAGGCATGACCCTGGTGGCTTTGAACATGGTGCACACCAGTGATGAGGGGCTTATAAAGGAGGGAATGGGTAGCATGCTAGCTGACTGTAGCAAAAAAAGGAAGGCAGGATTAGGAGTGGTAAGCCCCAGCAGTGGCGTGGCTTCAGATAGGCACAGGTCTTCTTAAGGATGTGGAATTTGTGCAAAGTATTCAAGTCGTAGAGGGAGGACAAGATGGCTCAAGGCACAAGCCTGACCTGGCTTCTATCCCTGGAACCTTGTACCCCTTGTCCAGGTAGAGAACCGGTTCCACAAAGTTGTCCTCTGACCCCCCCACTAATATTAATATATATATATATATATATATGTTGTAAAGGAAAAAAA